TCTTTCCTTCCTTACTTGTGAAATCTTGGTGGGCACTTAAGGGTGCAGAAAGTAGAAGACCAAGCGTTCACTTGAAACTGGAAACAAATAGGAAGATTCAGAAATGCAGAGTTGAACTGGAAACGACCATAGTTCTGTACAAAATCAAATGACCATATTTTGTACAACAAAAATTCAAAAGGAATGTTAAATCAATTGTGAAAAAGTTATTTATTTTTTGCACCTGGGAATATGTGACTTGTGAATTTTATAACCATTAATATGAACACTGCTAATTGAAATTGTTTTTTCAATGCTCAGTATCTGCCAGAATACTTGGTTATATCCTCTGCATATTCAATCACATTGAATTCTCATATATTTATGAAATTTAGATATTGCTATCTTTCTTTTATGGATGACAAATTGAGGCTGGAGAAAATTAAGTGACTTTCCCAAAGTCACACAATTTAACAAGTGGGTAAAGTCAGAATTACAATCAGGTTCTTGTGACTCTTAAACCCAATTTCCTAAATATTACTGTAAAATCTGGCACCAAACCTACTGATTTTCTTGAAGAAATAATATGTGAATTTCCTTTAACCTCCCAACAATTCAGTGCTTTCTTAATATTCATTTCCTTTTGTTGACAAAAATAATTAAAATCTTTTCAGTCCTTAACTTCAGAACCTTCTTGGTATTCTCCCTTTTAAGTCTTTCCCTGAAGCGACACGAGTCATCTCTTCAACAGCTCTTCTTTGCTGAAACCTAGAGGAGAAACATCTTATTTTCAATTAGTTCTAGTCCCCTGTTTGCTGCTGATAAGATTGTAATGGGAAAGAACTTGTGTAGGGGAATTCAGAGCTGACAGAATTCATACTCAAGGGTATTTTACACCGCCAAAAGCATTCTGAAAATCTTAGGAAAATGTTTGGAGGGCAAGTGTAAGTATTAGTGGAAAAATGATGATAGGATATTTCAATGAAAGAGAAATATTATGTTTTTCTATTAATAGAGGCAAATGTTGAATTTCATAGAGCTCGATGTATGTTTAGAATTTATCATTGGCCAACATGGCTTTCATCTTAATAAGCCATTTAGATTCTATGAACATTGACATGACATCTAGATCAATTCTCTCACTTTCTCCCCACATTCACCCCTCTCTGGATTCTAACACCATGCCCAGCTGGTTCAGTATGCGTCTATATTTTTGTGAGACTTCAGTTACACTACATAATCCTAGTACCAGAGCTATTTAAAGTTCAAGTTCATTGTTAATCCTAATGTAGCCTAGATGCATTAAATCCATAGATGAAGCTGTGTGTTACTGCCCAGAGATCCTGGAAAGACACCAGAGATCCTGGAAATCCTTAATGCAGTCAACTGTTTCACTGACTTATTCTCAGCAAGGAAGTTAAAACTACCTGATGTACCCTGCTAACCAGATTGCCTCCACCTCTATCTGGTTTAAGCAACATGCTTTTGCATGGAAGTCCCAAGATGCTCCTGTGGGTTCAGATCCTGAGTGACCAGAAATGTCCACTAGTATTGCTATCATAGTAAAACCCCTACCCAGGAGTTGAAACACTATTTTCCGAACACGTGTGGAAATATGTCTTGCCCTCAGCATCTAACCAGATGCCCCAGCACTGTCCAGTACGCCAGTATCCAATCATCGAAGACTTCTCTGTTCATTTTTGCTTTTCCATTTTTAAAAACCTTTTAAAGTGTGACCTCCATGCCTCTTAGCTGTCACATGGATTACAAGAGCTCTTTCTTTGACAAACTTGGGTCTGGTCTGTTGGTTGACATATCTGAGTGGTAGATCCCTGGAGTTCATTAAAAATCTTATTATCTATTTTTAATTTAGGATACTTAATTGTGTTCCTGACTTTAAAGAAACTATTATTATAGACAAGTAAAATCCATATGTATAGACATAAAAAAGAATGAATCATTTTTTACTAATTTACCTAATTCCATATTTAATTAAACATTTCAAGTCATATATCAAATGCAATATCACAATGTCATACTAAGGATAACTTTACAATTCTTGTCACCACTGATTTTGTTTAATTTTATATTTTCTATGACATTTACAGTCACTGATTGGGAAATAGGTTGACTGAGTCAGGAATTACTTGATCTCGGGCATTTTTTGTCTGACTTTGTGTGAAATAATGTCATCTTTCGGTGCAATCAAATTTCTTCAGTATCTTGCAACCTCTTGCTAGTGCACCCTGATAAATATAGGAGAAACAGGCCCCAAATGGAGTTCTTTGTGCCGGCCCCACCCAGAGCTAATAGTGCTGCAATGTCAACCCCTCCCTGAAGTGTCATCCTAAGCCCATCAATTTAGGGTTTCTGATCATTCCCAACAAGGTCACTGTTTCAAAGGATCCCAATGAAGTTCCCTCAGGAAAGGTGACTCAACCGGAAATAATCTTTTCTTTTGCTCAAAATCTTGCCCCATCTTCTTTCTATCTATAAATATCCTCTATTTTTGTGAAATCTTACAGTATCTACATGGGCAGATGCTGACAATTCATAAACCTTTTAATAAAGAAAATTATATCTTTAAACTTGTGGATTTTTTTTAACCTGCAGAGACCTTCCAAAGGACTGAAGTATCTTTGAGGTCTCCCCTGGAGGCTGAAAAGAAACCAGCAAACTCGCTGCTTCCCCACCACCTCCCACCCCTGTGCTCGGCACTACCTGCCGGGTAGGCAGCAGGGCTATCTACTGTGGAACGCGCTGTGGCCTCCAAGAGCTTTCCTGGCATGGTCAGCCCTGCATCTGCTTAAGTGTCACCTTTTATGTTGATCAGTTTGTCTACAACTATTTATAGAGCTTCTCCCCAGAATAGCACCTGTACACATGTAAAAGAGGACAGTAAATGCCCTACCCTTGTGGGTCTTTGTGGGTGTTACATTTCAGCAAAGGACACTGGAGAAATATAATTAAAAACTAACTCTCCTTATTACACTAAAAGTCTCTCCACAAAAGTAGAAGAGAAAGAAAACATCTTTGTCATCACAAGTATGAAACTTGGTGCACATCACAGACTGCCAAAGAGATTTCAAAGGCAAGAAGAAAGCTCATCGCCTTCTGCTATTAAGCTGATATGACCTGATGGAGGAAAAGAATAGAAAAACTGGAAAGAAGAACTCACAAGACTAAAACCTGACTCACACAAGGAGGTGGGGGTGGAGGGGAATAACAGGACCATTAACCCAGGGTAGAGGTCGTGACCCTCAGCCACCAGTGCCTTATGACAAGGCATGAGACCCAAGCAGGATCAGACTGCTATAGGGAGTGGAGCACCGGCCTGAGGGTAAAGATATGGAAATTGGGCCCACCCTGGAATCTCTGATCCCTTCCTGGTTTTTGCCCAGTTATCCCAAATCGGCAACAAACAGTCCACTCCACGGAGGAGTGACCCCTCCCAAACAGAAGGGGACTATATCAATGCAGTCTCTGCACTGGCTCGGGGCAGCGCTCCCACTGCCCACCTGTGACTATGCAGGTGCTTCTTTTCACCAAGAAAAGAAGCAGGCAGGACAGCAGCTTCCTGCCTGCCCGTGACCTGTCAAGGCCGCCTGCAACCATGCAGGCCTCTCTTAGCAAAACCTGTTCCTTTTCCTTTCCCTAATAAACCTACTCTTTAAATATAACTAACGTCTCTGTCTCATGGAGAAACTCGCCTGGGAAACGCGCCGCCGAAACAGGAGCTCTGGCGAAACCTTTCCCAGAGTGAACCCAAGGACCCCCGCAACTCCACAAAACCCCATCATGACCCATTACATGCATGTTCTCAAGACAAACTAGGTTTCCGGGGAGAAGCCAGGCAGCGTCATTTGTGATATAATTTACCCTAAATTTACTTAGTAATTGAGGTAGCCATGTTATAGGGCAGCCCCGATACAAAACAGGGTGCCTGACTGTGGCTCCTCAACCGCGCTTAAAAGGATTTATCAGTGCTCTACTGCAGGCACACACGAAAGGTTCATAAAAGGTTTATTCACAAGGGAAGAGCAAGTGAGGAAATGTACAACTCAGGGAGAAAAGTGGGAGACAAAGTTTTAAATGCGTCCTACCTGATCCGCCGATCAGGAATCCCAAATGGCACTCAGAGCTGGCCGCGAGCCGGGAGCCATGAAGCCAGAAGGCGAGCGACAGAGCGAGAGAGACCTCAAGGCCCACAAGTTTGGTTTTGATACCCAACCTGGCTGCTTAACCCCACCCTCAGGTCCCAGCCACCTTCCCTTTGGTGGTGACAGGATTTGTCTTTCCCAATGTCTTGATGGCTTTGGCCTGGGGTGGGGGTGGCGTCCACAAAGCCTGTATGGAATTAGCTCAGGACATCCTTTCCCCCTAACAATTACCCCTCTTTGCTAATTACCTTCAAAAATTATTTTCTCATAGCTTTATGAGCTGCAGTAGTTTGCAACTCAGGACCAGGTACCAGGTGAAATCAGGATCTTGGTCTCCCAGTAGACTGGTGGGGGTGGCTGGGGGGGTAAGGGTGCTATCATCCTCGATGATGATAACATTTCAAAGTGATGGCTCTCAGTTTCTTCAGGAAACATTTGTGAGTTGTAAAATCCCCCAGAGGCTTACTTGGCTTTTAAAATAATTTATATTATTTTAAAGAACAGCTAAAGAGCTTACAATTGTAGTTTCTCTAAAGTAAACATTGTGAAAAAAGGAGGAAGTCTCTTCTCTTATTCTCAACAGAGAGATTTAAGTCTCTTTATTTTTAAATCCCATTTGCACTTTGAAGGGCTATAGGCCATCAAAAAGCAGACACAAAAATAAGAGAAGTGAGGCCTAAATGAACATTTTAAAAAATAAAATTCAAAACCAATTTTCAAAAAAAATAAGTTAATTCATCTGTGAGGTACCTTAGGTAGAACATCAAGGGTGTAGTCTGGAGAAGTATCGTTTGACTTGAGGCACGAGGAAACAATATGAACATTCCAAGTTCTAAAATTCCAAAGACCTGAAAGGAATAAGATTGAGCTGCTCAATGGAATTAAGTTGACCATTACACCTGGAGTGCAACAAAATACAGGGAGTGGGAGAAGATAAACTTGGAGGGGAAGATGAAGGCATGCTCATTACAGCTTTTAGGCTGCAGGGTGGAAATTAGTGTGTATTCTAGTCACTGGAGAGCATCTCAACAGGAACATGCCATAACCTAATTTACACTATAGAAAAACGCTTGGCTTGTGTCTTGCAGATGACCTGGTTAGAGTCGGTGGTGGGAGCTGGGGAGGTATTGGGGGAAGGGTGGAGGTAGAGAAACTAGATAAGAAGCTGTTGCACGTTCCAAACAAGGATGAGTTAGCTAAGGACTCAGGTGGCAACCACAAAAGTTCTGAGCAGTGAGATAGGATCATGGTATGATTGGAATCAAAAGAACTTATGGACACACTGAGTGTGAGGGACAGAATGGAATTAAGCATTCTTTCCAGATTTCAGAGAGACATGGTAAGTAGTGATGGCATGAATTAAAAGATTGTATAGTTGGAGGAAGGAGATTTGGGAGGACAGAAGAATAATGGTGGGCGTAATGGGTTCAGGTAACCATATTGAGCCTAAAACAATCTGGAACTAAGAAGAGAGTTTGCATTTACATTTTTTGTTTCTTTGTTGCTGTGGCCTAATATTTCCACTAGGCATTGCCAACTCTCTTGGGCACCTTTGCTTTGTAGGTTTCAAGGTTTTTGGATATTTCATTGCTTATTGGTGGTGGACAAATCCTATTTTAGCTGCTATTTTCCCTTGATCATGCTCAAGAGCAGTGTTTTCATGTGACCTATTACATCAACAAAGAAGAATCACAACCAGTAAGCCCAATTCGGTGTCAGCCTTCTTGATCACTGAAGTCCCTGCCTAGATTAAAGGTGCTTTGTCATCTGAATCCTTTCACAGTCAGTTCCTGAGCTGAGCCAGGCTCAGCTGGATCTCTGCTCTAGATGGGATCTAATAGCTGACATCAAGATTACCAGAGAATTGAGGTACTTTCTGGAGGTTTTGGGGTAGTACTAAGGATCCAGGTTGTTGACAGAATTCATTCTGACGATTTAGGGCTGTGGTTACTTGCATAGTGGTGATTCATGTGGAATCAATCTCAGCTCTGGAGTCAGCTCATGTGACTCAGCTTGTGGTGTCCTGTCCAGCCTTTAAAGTTGTGGGCAAGTCCTTCTCATCCTCATCTCTCCACATCTGCTTTTGACCTCATCTCTCTTCTTTTGTAACCAAGGGAAGAACCGTCTTTGTTTTTGAGTTCTTACGTGATTCAATAGATCACCTGGATAATTCCAGATACTCTCCGTGTTTTAATAACCTTTACCTGGTAAATTTAATTCCATCTGCAAAATCCCTTCCAAGGGACCAGATCTATGTTCAATGGAATAACTAGGGGATAGATTTGTCAGGGGGAAATCTTGCAGAATCCTGCCTACCCATTTCCTCTGTGTAAAGGGGCTTTTTTTTTTTTTTTTTAAGCCAACTCACCAGTTCCTTAGTTTTACACAGATGTGCTGACAGCTCAGTTCCCCCAAATTAGGGGACTAGCTATGCTATGATGACATAATATTCACCCATTTATTTATGTTTTTAATCAGTATATTTTGAGTTCCTAAGTTTGAGAACTAGAGGCATTGCAATAAAGAATAGAAAGAGATTTTACGTTCTCGTATGGTTTAGATGCTAAGGATAGATGCTAACAGATGTTATTTTGATGTTTAAATAAGACTGGTAATTTGAAAATTAAGAATTTTTTACTAAACATCAGACATTCCAGTTAGTTTTTAAATCATTACCTTGAACATGACAGAATCAGTGTGTTGGTTATCTTTGCCTGATGCCTTTCTTTGCCATTATCTCATCAAGAAATAATAATTCCTCTCTCCCCATACTCTTTTCTTACCCTAAGGTCTTTAGCATATTGTTTATCTGTTATGTTGATCAGTTTGTCTGCAACTATTTATAGAGCTTCTCCCCTGGAATAGCACCTGTGCACATGTGAGAGAGGACGGTAAATGCCTTTCCTTGTAGGTCTTTGTGGATGTTACATTTCAGCAATGGACAAACTAGGTGTGAGGGACAGAATGGAGTTAAGCATTTTTTCTAGATTTCAGAGAAACATGGTAAGTAGTGATGGCATGAATTAAAAGCTTGTCTAGTTGGAGAGAAGGAGATTTGGGAGGACAGAAGAATAATGCTGGGTGTATTGGGCTTTCAGGTAACCATATTGAGCCTAAAACAATCTGGAACTAAGAAGAGAATTTGCATTTATGTTTTTTGTTTCTTTCTTGCTGTGGCCTAATATTTGCTAACCTTATGGTCTTTAGCATATTGTTTATCCATCTTCAGAAAAATTAGGGGTAGAAAATCATAAATATTCCAAAGAAACTGGATTTTCAGATACCTATCAGGGACCCAGGAAATTCATTGTGAAGTATCAGTGACCTCTAAGATTCAGAGACATCAGTTAAGTGGATTCAGAATTCAATGTCAGTTCATTCTGGGTCTACAGAGAAATCTACGTTAATCAAACCTTTTCAACAGTCAATGACTGCATGGGGAGGAGTCGATGAATAAAAGAAATTATGTTTTGACTTGCTCTTTGGTGGGGACCCTGGTTTGAACTTAGAATTAAATCACTTTTTCCTGATGCATCTATTCTTAGTTCATTGTGGACCCCACTGGACCCTCAGTTATATTTCTTTTTTATCCATGTGGTACCTCACACGGTTGAAATGTCAATGAAAAAGTGTGAGAAAATCTATTATCCTGTCTCAGAGGGCAAATCGGTGAAGACAACGTGCAATTTTATTGCCCTGCCAGCAATCTAAGTAAGTTGATTCGCCTACATCCTTTATTTCATGGTAAAGACTATATTTTGTTGGATTATTAGAAATTAGCCACCCTGAAAGAGGAGTCCAAAAGAAAGTTGCCCAATAAGCCTTGAGAACAGATTAAGTCATCTGATCCAGATGGGTTGCATAGCTTTGTTGGTTTGTTATTCTCAGTGCCACAAATATTAAGCATATTTAATTTATGATAGAGAGAAAGGAAATATGCAGGGAAGTCCAGAGGAGGCAAAATGTCTTCCTCCAGGCTACTGGCCATGTTTTACTTTAACACAAATGGCTGGGATGGCTTTGCTGATGGAAACATGAAGGAATTGGCAGAGTCCCCATGTTCTGTCAACTTCAACATACAATCGCCTTTTGAAATGATGCAGTGTGACCACAGGGCATTTGGGATCTCAGGAACTTTCCTACTCTTCTCACTCCAAACCTTCAAAATGCTTTTTTGAAATGAAGGCAGGTATCGAAATCTGATAAAGGCAAATAACTCATTTGAGCAAACATATATCTGGTCCATACTGGTCCCAAGCCCTAAATTATCTTAAATTATCTTAAAGTGCCATAGAGTTAATGGGAAAGTCTGCCCTAAAAAACAGAAATGGTGCCGGCTGACAGCTGGTGCAGGTTTGAATGACACATGGTCACTGTCTCTCTTGCACACATTTCTTTAAAAGCCAGCAAGCTACTGGTTGAAGACCAGGAACAGAGTATTATTCATTGGGAGGGAAATGCGGTCCTAGCATTTCCAAAGCTTTTGGACCTCTAATAAAACTTTGTGGATAAGAATCATATCATGTTAGAACATGAGTGGATTTTAGGGGTTTGGATCCCCAGAATGGACATGCTGTGAAGTTATTCCTAATTTCCAGGACCACTGCTGGATTTCAAATGTTGACGGCTTGGATTATTCCAACTCATCTAACTACCAGCAGGAGTTCAACATCCTCAAAGTGCCATTTAGAAATTTCTCACACATGCTAAACATCAACTGCAGTTTTTAACCTCCTCTTTTTAGTTTTCCTTCCTTCCATTTAATGTCCTTACTTTACATGTCCTGCTCAAAGGCCACTAGGAGAAGGCAAACCAACTTAACCTTAAATGTTAATGATTGTGCAGAGGGCGCTATCGCTGGATGCTCTTAATTCAGAATCCTTAGGATTCAACATAACTTGAGAGCCCAAACAGAGTCAGGAGTGCCCTTCCTCCACCCATTCTTACCCACTGTCTTTGTGGATGAAGGAATAGAATTCCAGAAAGTTCTGCCTCTTCTGTCCTTCAGGTGCTCAACATGATCCCCATGGAGTTCGAAGTCCATCACGGGAGGGGCTTGTGGTTATTCCATCTTCTCATTCTATGCTTCCTCTAAATCACTTTCCAGCACTCTTTTCTCCTAACAAACCTCGAAAAACAAATATCAGGCAATAAAGATTCTGACTCCAGTTTTTGATGCTTGCTGACAGCTTATAAGCCTTATTTCATCCTCTTCCCCTTCCAAGCACATATGAACAAGCCTTTCTGTGTTAGTGTCGATGGGAAATTCAGACCATGAATGGAAACCCCACCCAGTCCCATCCTCTACAAAAACCACAATAAAAATCTCAAACCACATCCACCACCAAAGTACTATCAGGCCTCCCCCACGGCGACTGCACTCCCTCTGCCCTTGCTCCCCCACCATGTGGTAACTCACATTTGAAGTGTGAATCTGTACTCCTAGAATATATAGAGTTCTAAAACAATGTTAACTCAATTAAAAAAACAAAAACAAAAACACCTCAATCTGGTCTTCTTTCCTGACTCTCTCAATCTAATTGTCCAACCAGAATGGGGATCTTGCTCTGATCTCCCCAGAATGCATATAACCTCTTGGCACACATATGACATCATCAGTCTTGACATGCCCATAAAATTTTGGGGTGAGTGTTCAGTCTCCTCTGTAAGATGTCTGCAACATGTTTTATATGCATGTCTTTATTTGCAGCTGGCATAACGTAATGTTAGCATGTGGCCAGAATGAGAGCTGATCTCACTTAACCCCTTTGTGTTACCATATCTCTAATTTTTATATTTAGCAACTTGAACACAGACAAAAGGTTCTCACATGGTTGAATGAAATTTTCAGTGAACATTTCCTCACCTGTCCACTTGTCGCAGTCTGAGATATATGTTCCACAGCAATTACTCTGTAAACTTAAATTTCAACTCTTTCCTCCAAAATATATTTCATTATTCCTAATTAAACTACTATTATTATTAGTTTAGATTTAAATCATGACTCAGCTTCCTACTCTGGAAGATGAGAAGTTAGGTTTTTTTGACCTTACCTAACCATATGTTCGGTATCCTAACCATATGTTTTATCTGAGTTATTATTCATGATTTTCATTAATAGCATCTTCAGTGATGTTTGCCTGCTGTTTATTTTTGATATGAGGCCTCAGGCTGACAACAAGAGGTGGCAGGTCACTCCATTCTGAAGGGCACCTGTTCTCGTGGTTTCCTAATCTCTTTCAGAGCCACCTCTCGGGAGGATGCCATCCTGGTCCAACATCAGGTTACAGGGGGACTTGCTATACTTGAGTGAACTCTTGGAATTTGAGAACCCAGATTTGGAGCTTCACAACCATCCTCCTCCTCCATGGGGCTTTATGCAACAAATAGAAGACACTGAGGAGTGAGGTGCCTCCAAGTCAACACCATTGAGACTGAAGCCCATGAAGGGAGCCAAAGGGACTAGAAACATGTGGGGAAAGTTCTTACAACATCTTCCTGTTTGTAAGACTTGGACAATATAGAGTTGAATGAGTGATGCCACCAGGAACACCTGTGTTCTCAGAACCAGTTCCCATGTTGGTGACTCATCTTCTGAGGACTGTGAGCCAGTGACTGAGCAGCTGCAGGACAGCATGGGATGCCTCTGTGGGCAGTCTGCACCAGAGAACCCCAGTGAGTGGCAAACACTCTGGTAGCTGAACCCCAGTCTGGGGTTCGTCTGCGCCTCCTTCTCCCTCTCTTTTCACAGGTACAGTCTGAGGCTCCTCCCTGCTCCGGCTTCTCCCACACGTGCCCCTGATGAACCTCTCATTTGTCCGGGCATTTGCTCCCCAGAGGACTCAACAAACACCTAAGGCAGAGATGTTGAGACGTTGCACACCCGAAAATACCCTCATTCTATTATTTAAATGGAGTAATGTTTTCCTCAAGCGTGGAAATACTGAATGAAAATCATTTTGCCTCAGAATATTAAAGATATTGCTTTATTATCTTCTACCCCCTGTTCCTGTTGAAAAATGGGCAGCCGTTCCTGATTCAGTTTGTGTGAAAAAGAGTCTCTCTCTCATCATATTTCATTTGCATTCTACTCTGTGGGTGGCCGGCTCTCACTCTGGCTCTCTGCTATAAAGATACGTGTGATTCATTTAGGGCCACCTGTAAAACCCAGATATTCCCACCATCTTGAATCGATTTCCTTGACTTAATCACATCTGCAAAGACTTTGCAGTGTAAGAAAACTTCACATGTTCCAGGACTAGAATTGCATTTCTTTGGGGCCACCATTCAGGCCACTCAGCTTATTCTCTCTGAATTTTAGTTTTCTTATCTGCAAAGCAATGAATAAAAATACCAAACATATGGGATTTGGTGTTCTGAGGGTCAAATACAAAATACATCTGTAACGGTATTCTCATGCAAATACAAACTCAACATGCTCAGTAAATGAAGTTTGTGATTTTGTTATAATTTTGATATTCTCCTATTTTTATATCTCTTTGCATTCAATTCTTCACATCTGCACTGTGGTTTCAACAACCACGGCCGTTTTGGCTACATGTCTCAGTTCCTGGACTCAATTGGGAGGGAGGTGGCCGGAGGAGAGAGACTTTTTCCAGCCCCATCACGCTTCTTCTTCCTTCTCTATGTTGTTCTGAAATTTCACCACAGTGTGTCTTGCTGTGACTCTCATTTATCAAACTAAGAATATAATGGTTCCTTTAAATATGGAAACTGCTGTCGTTCAATCATGAAATGCTTTATAAGAAAAAGTCTGTTATTCAAATGTTGAACTTTTGGGGTTGTCAGATGATTTTCTTGTTGTTTTTTTTTCCTCCCTATTTCCTATCTGTTTTGCTCTATGTTTAGAAATATTTACTTGGCTGTATATCCTAACATGACTATTTTTTAATGATATTTCAAGTGTACCCTCTCTTTTGTTTTTCCATCTTCAGCTTCTCAATGTTCACTTGTTTCAGTGATTTGGTATCTACTATTTATTTGAAGGCATCTGCTTCACTTTGTATTTTAATATGAAAATCTTTTTTGTATACCTCTTTCACATATAGTGACTCTCAGATTAATAGAGATTTATCTAAACAATAAAATGCTCACTGCAAATTTTATCATTCATTTAAAAAATGAAGATCAAATTTTAAATATCTTTGGGTTCATTTTAATTAAATTTAATATCTGTACAGAATTAATTGGTTCAAAAAGCTGAAAATAATTATGAAAGAATTATAGTCACATATTTATGAAAAATTAATGCTAAGATCATTTTTTGAATACCTGGAAATTTTAATTTAGACCTCAAATCAGTTATGAAAATGACTGAAAGAAATGTATTGATATGCTCCTACTTTTTCAGGAAAAGGAGAATTTATCTAATTAGAGCCAATTGTGTCATTTTGATTTTATTGTGGACCTTAATAACATAAGATTGCATTATTATTATTTACTGAATCTATGATTCTAAGTCTTTGAATGAGCACATTTGATTATTTTGCCTGTGTTTACATGTGCTGAGTTATTATATACAAAAGCTTTTTAATGCTGTCTTACTTATATTTCTTTGTCCAAAGATTTCCTAATGGCATTACTATTGTTGTGATTTCACTTTTGCCTTAAGTTGAATTGATGGGGTTTTCCTCATTAAATTTATTTCCCACTGGGGCTTGAAAGAAAAATATCCTATTTCTGTTTATCTAGTGGTTGTTATTAATTTTAAAGTGACATATTGAACCAAATATTTTTAATACCATGTGTATATAGATATCTTTCTTCTTTCCTAAGATAATAAACAATATGCATTTTTAAACAAAAACTTTCACTGATTTGGGCCTCCCCTGGTGGCGCACCGGTTGAGCGCTGGGCTGCGAAGCTGCCGACAGCCTCTGCAGTGCCGGTTCGATCCCTGGCCGGCCGCTGGGCAAGGGTCCCACATGGCACACAGACCTCTCCTGCCGCACCCACTGCTCCCCTCAGCAGCTTATTTCGTCAGTCTGCCTGTTCTGTTCCCTGCTCTGGCTGTGGTGAATTCTCTCACCCTCCTGCACTTCTGACTGTACCCAGTGCTTGTATAAATAAATAAATAAATCTTAAAAAAAAAAAAAAAACTTTCACTGAAGACTTTTAACATAATGCAGGAAAAATGAAAATTTATGACTTTATTAGAGTTTTTAAAAACAAATATATGCCCCAATTAAATTGAATGGATTAAATAAATGTTCATACACTGTTAAATAAAATATAAATATAGTACCACAATAATTTTCTGAAATAATTAGTTGGAAAATCATCCCCAACAAAATATTTAGTGGGAGATAAAGGATACAAAATATTACATATTATTTAATTCCAAAAATGTATATATGTATCTTTATATATTACATGCCAAATTAAATACTTCCTTATATTATAAGAAAAAAATAATATATTGGTCCCTGACTAATGATTCACAGGTTGCTCATAAATAGCATGTGTATGTGCTATTTTATGTATATAAGATGATGTAAATAGATGTATATACGTTAATATATATAAATGCATACAACCAATTTAAAAGAAAGATATTTTTATTGTATTTCTAGCAGAGGCTGGAAGTAAAGCAAATAATTTCAACCACCATAACATAGTAAGAGAGGCAATGGACCATGATAGACTCTGACATGTGTCAGTTACAACTCAACCTCAGTGTTAGCACTGACAGTGTCGATGAATTCTTCAAGATTCCTAACCTTTGTGAATATCAGTTTTTTAATCTGAAAAATGAGGAAGTAATATTTACCTTGTATGCCTTTTGTGAAAAGTAAAATCTAAAATAATAAATTTAAAGGGAAAACATCCTTACCTGGCACATCGCTGTAACTATGGTGATGGCAAAAGCATTGGATGTTATTACTCTTCAACTCTAGAATTAGCTTGCTGTACAAAAGCCACTACAAGAAAAGGGAGATAAAATTTCAAATAAAAATAATAATGCTCATCATAAATATAGCAATAGTAGTAATAACGCTAAATTCGGGCAGGCAGGGGCTTTGATTCAATGTCTCCCTATCGGTACGCTCTGACTATAACACAGGAGCTATCACTGAATTTCTGAAGCAGCTTAGCTTAAACAGAATAGTGATAATGATGATAATAATAACAATAATAAATCAGATGGTTATAACACCAAAATTCTGATATTGGGAGTTTATTTGGGTAAAGAATTCAGTTATATTTGCCTGAAGAAAAGAATGACAGCTTTTAAAATGCTAGTAACTCAAATCTTGTGGGAGTACAAGTGTAGTCACCAACTAGAAGCTATTTCAGCAAGAGTGGAGGTTTTCCTATGCAGCACTCACTCAGGCCTTTACAGGGACACATTAGGTGACATCCTAGGGGACAGATGTGCCCCTGGAGGGTGAGGGCACGAGACAGTCACAGAACACATTATTCTACTTTTGTGATTCTATCTATACTATTAATGTTGATTAAACAGTAAAAAGTTGTTATTTTTATTGTTTATTTTATGCATATGATTATTAAATAATTGTTGGTAGAGATGAAATCTGGGAGTTGAAATACAACCAATTTAAAAGAGAGAGACTTTCAAAGCAGTAAAATAATAATGTTCCCTTAAGGAAGAGGGGAGTGGGGTAACATAAAAACAACTGTCATCCCCTAAGACCACAACGAACTAGACTAAAATCTCCATTTATGTATGAGCCACAGAGAAAGGTAACGTAATTTGTTCAAAGTTCTCCAGGTGGCTAGTGGTAGAGACACAATTCTAGTTTGCCTTCTTACAAAGGTCTTGTTATAGATATTTTATCACAATTAAAATGTGAAATGTCCAAGTCCTTACTATCTGACTATTGTTGACTTTGGACACACGTTTTCGATTCTGTGGAAGCTGTCCACTGCTTTTACAAAATGTTCTCATACTCCTAAATATCTTTGCTCTTGTTATTAGCAAGTATCTCAAAAACTACATTGCAAAAAATTAAAGTATCTCCAAATCCAATAAAACAATAGTTCCTATTTCACTACCCACACACTCTTACTAAAATAGCCAATGCTTAAAGCAAATTCATACAAAGCATTACAATGAAAATAATTTGCAGTCTTTAGGGATTTCCTTAGAATACAATAAATCATGTGTGGCCACACACAAGAACAGTCTGTGCTAGCAATGATCACAACACAGTAGGAATCAGCCATGATGAACTCTTCATTTTTTTAAAGATTTATTTATTTAAACATACAAGAGCTGGGGTACAGGCCAGAGGTGTGGGGGGTGTGAGGGTTCACCAGAGACAGAGTGGGGAACAGAACAGGCAGACTGAAGTACACTGCTGAGGGGAGCAGTGGGAGGGTCAGGAAAGGTCTGCTGCGCCATGTGGGTAGCTCCCTGGCCAGTCAGGGATCGAACTTGTGCTGTAGAGGCATGGACAGCTTCATAGGTTGCGTCTTAACCCTTGCACGACCAAGGAGGCCCCAAACCCCTACTTTTATTTTATCATTGAATGATGGAAATTATCTCTAGGGAGGAAGTGGAAGCTGCATGACAGCTCTTACATCCAAAATGAAATTTATTTCACTTTTCTGTTAGTTGAATACTTGTGCATACTCAGAAAAGACGACCATTCTCAGATTCCCGTATGATGGTGTTTTTGGGATCCAACCCCATCCCTCTTCTTTGCTTTAATTTTTTGACACACAAAACTGATGATTTGAAGAGATGTCCTAGACCTTTTATTATAAGAGAAAACAACATAAATCACCCTGATTTGGGTTTTCTTTCAAAGTTTAGCATACTCCTACAAAGCATGTCTTCTGAGTCAAACTCCATTTGACTGTTTGTTTCCCAACTTACAAGTTAAGTGACCTTGAGCAAGGTATTTATCCTCTTGATTCTTTACTTTTTAATTGTAAAATGGAGACAATAATCTTGTGACAAACAAATGAGTTAATATTGTACTGTT